AGGAGGGAAATGCATTTAACAGGGTTTGCTAAGCCTCAAGGATACAAACAGATCATTTTGGTGTGAACACAGCCAGCATAATATCCTAAAATACAGATTAGTAAACAATGTTGCAGTAGTGCAGGTTTGCATCCTACCATTAGGTGCCTTTCTCCATTCCACTTTTTTGACTAAATAATATACCAATTTAAAAGAAAAGAAAAACTCCATATATGCTCTAAGTTGTGCAAACACAGGGGTAAGATTTCACACAATGTTGGGAGCCTCTTAATCTTTTGCTGACTCAAATGAAAGCATTTGGGAACCATTACGGGCCACACACAAACTCAATTACTTCCAACCAGAAACCAGAGAAGCCAAGTGAGGGTAGGGCATCAGAAAATGCCAGGGGCACATCTGGCATCCAGTGGAACAGTATAAAGATGATAGACTGAGAAAGTGAAAGAGCATTTTAAGAAAAGCAGGTAGAAATTATGTTATGCAATGTTTGGGTCGTGACCCAAAATAGAATGCAGGCACGCATGTTTTAACAAGAGCTGGATCCATAAGGTGAAGCTGCTGGATTTACTTAATGTTCATTCTCAGACTGTTAAATTTTAAGACTCCCTGTTGTACAGATTAGTGGTAACAGTAAAACAGCCCGACTGCAAGGAAGAATAGAAAGACAGCTTGGAAAAATAAAGATGGCCTCGGTCTGTGTGACTGATGTCCAGTATGACAAGGAGGGGAAAAAATAACCTTTTATAAAAACATAATTTACCACATAAGTCTAAACAGATGACTTGACCAAGAAATATTTTTTTGCATCTAAACCTGGCAGTAGAGCTGACTGTGCGGTAATCAGATTCAGTGTTCAGGGTGACTGTAAAGGTTTGACTCAGCATCACAGACTACAAGTCAGTTCCCTTGACTACCCATCAACAAACAACAGAGAGGGGCCAAGAATCGGTTGGGGTTTCCTGCCTTGATCCCAATGCTCCATCCTAACCCTCCATCTGTTTACCCTTCCCACCCTCCATTAATCCCTCCATCTCTTTCATGTCTTCTCCCCTGGGATTGAACAAAAGCTTTCATTACAGATTAGCAATCACCTGCTCTAGACTATATCTGTAAAGTATAATGCCAATTTAATATAGGATAAATCTTTCAGCATTTAATTGCATTATCATTCCCTCTGTCCTTAATGGACACACAAGATGAAGGGAATTGACTTGCTTGTTCCATCCCTCCATCCGACCGTCAATCCATGTAGCTTCCGTACCGCCTCCCATCCTTCTGCTTTTCTACTCTTTAACAGACAACCGACAAAAGTCTGTGATATATATCAGCTATACGCAAGGTTGGCTGAGGTAGCCCGGCCAGTTCACGATATTGGGGAAAGGGAGCTGAAGAAATGAATGAAAAAGGTAGCGCCCCTTTCCCTGTATTACAGCTGAGGTGCCTTTTAGCAAGGCTCTAAATCTCTGTCTGCTGCAGCTGACTCATTAAATGGTAGCATGGTTGGATGTAAGGCAGGGCTATACTGACAAAGAGTAAGCAGTCAGCAAAAACTCACTCAATAAATGAAGGTTAAAAAAATTCAGTCACAATCAAACGTAACCCCAGCAGCACAACAACTGCCAAGAATCTATAACGAGGAGCTATGGGTTCATAAAGAGCTGCACACACAGCACGCCACCGCTTCTTGTAATTCACTCTCATTATTTTATTCACCTTTTTTAAAGACAAGTAAGGGTTGAAGCAGTGATTTTCCATATTACAACTAACTTCTCTTCTTTCCATTCCAACCTATAAAAGAAAACACAAATATCCACTCACAAATGTCAACCATTTGCTACTTTCAAATGAATACAGAATATTGAAAAATGAGGTAACACACTCCTGTGCAAGTGCTGAAAAGCAATAACTCAAACTAAATTACAAGCAAAACCTAGATGTTAATGTGATTACACTGCCCTCCTCTCCTCCCTTCTCACTGCAGATACTCCTCTGGACTGTGAGGTGTCAGTGTGGTCTCCTTGGGGCTTGTGCAAAGGCAAGTGTGGAGACTCAGGCGTGCAGCACCGCACACGCTACGTCCTAATGCACCCAGCCAACAACGGAGCAGCCTGCCCCCTGCTGGAGGAAGAGAGGAAGTGCTTTCCGGACAACTGTTTATGACTAAGCCAGGAAAGGAGGGAGAAGAAAGAGAGGAAGGAGAGGAGAGAGAAGAAAGAGAGGAAAGCCAGGAAAGGGAGGAAAGGACGAAGACGGAGAAACAACAATAAAAGGTCTGCAGTGTGTTCTCATGAGGCATAAATACGATGAACAGGACTCCCTTGTTTCCTCCCTGGCTCTATCTCTGTGGATACGACTAACGAACTGATTGTCTGTTAAATTGGGAAAGTCACACTGCAAAAAAATTGTTTCATTCTCAAGTCTCATTGATAGATCTGACAGCACTAGAGAGGTGTAGTTTGGCAAAATGGCTATTAGACACCAAATCAGTTTTGGCAGATTATCAAAATTGTCTGGAGATTTTTGAAACACAGCTCTTAACTGAAAACACATTTTCACATTATAGTTGGGTTTGATTCAACGTTTCTGAAGATCACAGACGTTTGTTTGCCCACACTGGATTATAACTCACAGCAGCTTTCATCTTATGTGGATTTGGAAATAAATCCACATAAGATCTAAAGTCCCTATAGCCAAGAAATACTTAACAGAAAATCCAAATAATATCAGCTTCGGCACAGGGGAAAACGAGATGCCTCAACAGTTGCATTAGCAGAAGTAGTACTAGCAGAAAAGTGAGCCATAGAATTAATGTACGGTCCTCTAAACTACGCCACATTTAAACATAATGTTTACAGAGGCACTGTGGTTCTTTCCAGAAGACAAAGAATATATTTATTGACAGGATTTTAACCTGTAGTGTACAGTATATCAAATCTGAAAGTAATAATTTGTATTCTTTTTGTTAGATATTAGTTCAATAAAGAAAGTTTTTTGTAAAAAAAATACAAAAAATGTACAAAAAATGTATGCAGTCTGTATGGTCAATAAAGTGTAAATATATCTTATTGTTACATCATTGATAACTCTTTTTTGAAGAAAGATACTATATTGTGTATATTTGGAGTTTTATTGCTTTCACATTACATAATCACAATAACAATTGTGAGTCATTTTTCCATGATATGGATTTAAACACTTTAGTGCTTCTGGTCAGTGTGACCTTTAAATCTCAACCACACATTTGGGCTCCCAAGTTAATATTACTAACACTGTGGATCAAATTGAGTGCAGAGAGAAATTCTTTTAACTGGATGACCTGGGTTCAAGCCCCGGTGTTGGCTAGCATTCGTCCTGATGAAGTGTTGGTCATAAAACGGATGGATGTGCTCACCAAGTATTTAAAACAGTTCACCAAATGTTGATTTAGATTACGAGGCCTGAAATCTCACAGAGCTCACTTCATGCTGTGCACGAAGCACGAGTCTCATTTAATAGCCAGAACAGACACCAGTTACACAAAAAGTGACCTCTTTTTTCAGAAAAGGTTTCTGGCTAGATGAAGACAACACAATTTCAAACAGATTGAAAAATTCTTCTTTGGTGAACAATACTGGTGTGAATATGTAAAACAGATAGAATCACTTGTGACCCCCCCGTTCCCACCATGCAACACAGAAACCATACTGCAGATGACATATTGAACAGCAATAAGAACTAAACATCTGGTGCATGAGGGAGCTCCTTCTGTTTTGAATGACAAGGGAGAGGAAAATTACGGAGGCAGAGAATCAGGAGAAACAGTAGAAGAGCAGATCCTGTTTCTAGCTTTCTTAACAGTGGTTTCATCAGCTGAGTAATGAAGAATACATTATGATGTGTATACTCAACAAGGTGGCTTGTTGCCAATCCGTTTTCTTGGAATTTGTATAGCTCAGGATACGTGAAAAAAAGTGTAAATTACTGCAAGAGTATTTATAATATACAACAAACAACAAGGCCACAGGAAAAATCTATTCAAAATGGTAGAAGGAAATATTGTATGAATGAGCTTAGTGATACGTGGCTCACAGTGAATTTCACATCATTAGTACTTTTACAAGATGTGTTTTGGAGTAAATGACAAAGTTAGACAAGATTTAGCAGACACCATATAAAACTGAATCTAATGTTTTAATGGCAGGATAATATATATATGTATATTAAACATATTGATTTAGTATTCACACTTCCTGTAAAAACATTGGTGTGGGAAGGGAAGGAAATCTGATTATTTGCTTACTTTGAGGAATAACAACTTTTGCAGATGCTAAATATGAGAAGGGTTTATTCTGTGTGTGGGGGTTTACTTTATAAGTGACCTCATCTAGGGTTAGCATATGGCAACTATTGTATGTAATGGTTTGGATTACAATTCCCACTCAGTTTCCAAAGAGATGTGGACTCTCTTTTATACTGTAGTAACAGACACTGTGACACCGGTAATCCTCATTGTTTAAAACACCATATTTTTAAAAAAACTACAAAAAATCCCAGAGAAGAAATAAGAAATCAGTCAGTAGGCCAGAGATGAGGAGCAAATTTGTCTAAGTTGTCAAGATTAACCATCAATCCTTATACTACAGCGTGTGCTCATACATATTATCAGAGTACCCTGGGCCTACAGGGACGACCAAAGACTGTCTTGAATATGTTTCTTGCTCTTCTTGCATCTTGTTAATAGCTAGCGATTTATCCTTTAGGGCATAGCTTAGCATCTATCACTTTCAATTTGCTGTGATAAAAGCAGAGCAGGCACTTGGCCCTGCAGTGCAAACAAGTTTACTGCAGCATTAACATTAACATGTTTAATACTCCTCTAAAGCTCTTACATTATTTTACTAATTGGTAGATATTTTCTGTTTAATGGCAATAGAAAATACTGCATGTGCCAGGGATGTCTGAAAGGTCAGTAGCGCTCACACAGTGTAGTATGAGCACTACTGTCGGATAATCTGTGTCTGTTGCAAGTGGTCAGTCCCGGTCTGTCACTATTCTTAGCAGCCTCGCTATTGGCTCGCAGGTTAACCAGTCACAAAACGACCAGAATGTCTCGTCACACAAAGCAGCACCTGTGAGCGTTCTCACACTCAAACTCCCTTATAGCCTTCCACTTGAAATATATCTTATAGGACATGGGTGTTGTATAGTCAATGAAAAATAGCTCAATCTTGAGTTAGAATTTGCCGATCAAGAAAAAAAAAATCAATTGGAACTGCAGGCGAAACATTTGGTCTCAGTCGAGTGTATTGTAATTTAATAGCTCATTGTTAACTGAAAATGGGTTTGCGAGGCATTGGCTTTCTCCTCCAGTGTTACCTTGTGTTGGCAGCAGCCATGTATTTTGATCTCGGAGAGCAGGAGGAAAAATGCATCATTGAGGAGATTCCTGAAGACATGCTGGTCACTGGTGAGTCCTGGAGAGGGAATATTCCTCCTGAGTGTCGTTTACAATCTCAACAGAGGTTAAAGAGTGTGGAATTTGACCTTTAAAACTGATTGCTGAATGACACAGTGATGTTATATGTGTTTCCATGATGGTACGTCTCTTATTTCAGCGTGTGCAAAAGCCATTTATGACTGACCAAACTGACCCTTAAAGAATTTATTATGTGCTTCAACAACAACAGCAAATAGAAATATTTAATAGAGCATTTCATTCACTGTATTCAAAGGTGCTATATTTCCTACAATTAGTCCTACAATAAGAGACAGACAGAAGTAACATTTCTTTTACCAGTAACGTGTGAAGGAATGTATATATTAAATACTATATTATGTATGGATTTCAATGTAAATCCCAATTTGAAATGAATAATTTCAATTTCCTATTCATGCTCAATCTAATCCCTATCTCAACTGTTACAAGCTTAATAAAGACCTTGACTACTACTGTGTATGATTGTGTGTGTCTTACCTTCAGGTTATTTCTTGTTGGAGCCTTGGGATTTAAAGACGTTCACCCACTCCCCTCACTTTGGCGTCACTGTGACAGTCAGAGACCCAAACCATGAGGTATTGCACTCACAGGAGAGGTTTATCACCTAACCCAGGGCCACACAAACATGTGTACGGTGGTACACTAAAACATGTGCTGGCTGGTTTCCCCATTCAACCCAAACAAGGAGAAAATGCGTTTAACACAGTGGTACTAAAGATTAGCACTGCACAGTTTGACTAATGAGAACTTACAGCACTTTATCTGTATGATAATATGAGAACATTACCGTCTCACACCTCCAGATCAGCTCCACTGATGCCAATATGGTCCCAATATGAGAAAAAATCCTTTAGTTTGAATTAAAATTCAACTTTTCGAACACTTTTGCAATGCCAAAAAATAAATGGACATTAATGAGACGATCTACAAGCTACACTTGATTACTTTTTGCATAATAATGCATAATTTCCTCTGCATTCGACCAACCAATAGAAATAAAACCACCACATCTCCATTTTGTTGACTCATAGCTGAAGAAATGTTGTCCTAACAGTGTCTACCCTGCTCTCTAGGTTCTGATGACCAAACGCTATGGTAAATTTGGTAAATTTACCTTCACAGCTCACGCCTCTGGTCAACACTACCTTTGCTTCCAGACCAACTCCACGAGGTTTGCTGTCTTTGCTGGAGAGAGGCTGGTGAGACCTATGGACACAGACAGAAAATTCATTTAACATAAGCAGAGCGAAAAATACAGCAGTAACATATCACACACTGAGTCGAGTCTGTAAATTGTGTGCTGACTCATCATAGATTTTTTTAAATAACCCCCGAATGTACAGAAGCTGCACTTGGACGTTCAGATGGGAGAGCACTCGATCAACCCCAACACTGAAAAGACCAAAGACAACATGGAGACTCTGGAGAACAGCCTCAGCCACCTCATAGATCAGATGATGTTCATCGCCAGGCAGCAGGAGTACCAGAGGGTAGATGAGTATTTTACTGTCCTGTCTGCAAACAACAATCCCATGATATGACAGTAAAAGTCTGACTTGAAAATAATAATATTACTGCATGGGATCTCTTCAAATGTTATAAAATGTAAGGCTATTTGAAAAAAGACCTCTCTGTAAACCATTCCCTCTCTTCCCTGTGTTTTACATTCCTTCCTCTCATTCAGGAAAAAGAGGAGGTATTTCGTCAGATCAGTGAAGAAACCAATAGTAAAGTGTTATGGTGGGCCGTGGTGCAGACCTCTATCCTGCTGTCCGTTGGTTTCTGGCAGATGAAACGACTCAAAGACTTCTTCATCGCCAAGAAGCTGGTCTGAAGATGACCTCTGACCTGTCAGCTCTATACCTGATGACCTTACAGCATGTCCTACCTGTCCTACTGTCTATACTGCCAACATGTATATCCTATCCATATAAACACTTTGGCAATGAGAGAAGAGTCCTTTTAATTTCAAACAGCTGGTGACAAGGACATGGGCCTGTGGAGAAATAGACTAAGGAGGAGAGTTTTTAATGTTGTTTGTGTAAGATGTGGACAATTATTCTTCTATACTGTAATAACGTTACTTCTGTTGAAATAAATGGATAATTTTAGCTGGTTGGCCCCATTATAAGCAAACATGATTCAGTTCAGATCATGTTCTTTACAAGTGAACACAACATAGGATACTACGTAAAAATAATAAAAGCCATTTGAAGGACAATGTTTTTGTGATTATTTCCCTTTTGTTAAACAATAAGGAAACACAACAAACTTTAATGCATAATTTACCTCATGCTCAAATATTAACTTGTGATAAAGTTTTATAAGCTATCTAACGTTAGAGGTTTTAATACTTAATCTAACAGAGATAACTAACTTAAGTTAGTCTTATAACTGTATGTAACGTTAAATTAGCTAATATAACAACCTGACGTCGTTAGGTGCTAGTACCACAAGGTAACTCTGGGTTTACAGTTACAGTAGTTAACGTTAGTAAGTTAATATAAATAATATATAAATAGATATAACTATTTAATCTCTACTTCAGCTCACTGACTAACGTTAGACGTTAATTAACGTTAACTAACAGACGAACTGTACCTTGATGAACAGATGAACTGTACCGCAGTTGGAACATGACGTTACAGAACGTTACATGACGTTACAGAACGTTACATGACGTTACAGAACGTTGCTCCCACGGGTCCGTTATTTAGCGTTAGCATTTAGCTTCCCTTGCAGCGGAACACCCTAGGTAACGTATTAAATAAATTAAATGTAACGTTACCTTACCGTGAGGAGGGGTTAGCCGTGTCGTAATGTTGCCTTAAACATAAAAAAAAATCACAGTCAGGGTTTTAAATCAGTCAATGATTCCAAAAACCACTTAACTGTTAAACGTTAAATTAGTTGAGGCTAACGCCAACTCCTAGTGACGGAGAGTGAGTTAGAGTGAGTTAGTTAGAGTTAGTTAGTTAGAGTGAGTTAGAGTGAGTTAGAGTTAGAGTGAGTTAGAGTTAGTTAGAGTTAGAGTTAGTTAGAGTTAGAGTGAGTTAGAGTTAGTTAGAGTTAAGAGTGAGTTAGTTAGAGTGAGTTAGTTAGAGTTAGAGTGAGTTAGTTAGAGATAGTTAGTTAGAGTTAGTTAATTTAGTTAGAGTTAAGAGTGAGTTAGGAGTTATTTATTTGATAGTTAATTTAGTTAGAGTGAGTTAGGTGAGTTGAGTTTAAGTTAATTAGTTAGAGTGAGGTTAATTTAGTTAGAGTGAGTGATGAGTAGAGTTAATTTAAGTTAGTAGTGAGTAATATTTAGAGTGATTAATTTAATTAGATGAGTTAGTGAGTGATAAGAGTTAATTTAGTTTGAGTAAGTTAATTTAGTTAGAGTGATTGGTGAGTGAGTTAGTTAATTTATTAGAGTGAGTTAATTTAGTAGATGAGTGATTAGTTACGAGTTAATTTAGTTAGAGTGAGTTAAATTTAGTTAAGTGAGTGTTAGAGTTAATTTAGTTTGGTGAGTTAGCTTGTGAACTCCTCTCTCTTCCTGCAGGTCCTTTAATGCTTAATGGATGCTGCCAAA